TAAAAAGACTTTCTAGAAGTCTYTGCTCGAGGCTTTAAAAGATTTTTACAGATTTAAAATTAGTCACTCGCACTATCTCTTCCTTACCACTAAGGATACTGTATAACCAAATTAGACTTAAACTGTCAACATGAAAAAAAGTTCAGTTTTCCCTGATGTGATACATGTGCACTGTTTTGTATGTCACATCAATCACTATAAACATTTAGGCAGTCTTTTAATTACTTTTCCCTTATTTTTACATATCAACTTCAAAGGTAAATAAAACTATAGAAAACTACTAGTGTCTGTGATACTTCTAAAGTCTAGCTAGTCTTTGGCATCAGCTTTGTGTTTCAAGATTACTGAAATGCCCTTGAATTTGCTAAGATCTTCTATCAGCCATGAGTTAACCAAATAAACCCAAAGCTATTAAAAAAGGATTATGCAAGCACAGTCAAGTATTTCAGGAAGTTCCCATAATGCAGTGACTAACTGAAAAATTGCACTCTATACTAGAAAGAACAGTTAGCTATGATGAAAATTGTTTTAACATGTAACTGGCTTGCTGCTTAAGAGTTCAGCTGTACTGAACACATTCAAAATTCCCAGTTGTGAAAGTTAATCTCAACTTCGAAACATGCTGTCTCTGAAAATATTTTACTTAAGCAACTGTATTTATAGGCAAATATTTTAGTTTTACTATGAATAATAAAAAGTTCTTTCCAATACACGATTGAAACAGGAAAATAATTGTAATAGTGTTACTGAGAGTCATACGAAACTAGGAAAGCACAAACTTAATAGGCTAGAAGCAGTCTGGCTGAAATTCAAACGTTTGAGTTTTAAATAACAGTTTGGGCCATACCTAGAAAAACAAAAGCCCGCGAGTCTACTCTGTTCTGTATGTTGTTAAAGGGAAGGAATCACAGACTGCATTTGTTTGACAGAAAATAAGCATCAAACAACACCAGGAATACGAGAATAATTCAACTCAAATTCCAAATAAGCTGCACTGGAAAATCATTGCCTTTTTCATTTGAAGGACCTCTTCTAGGGCAAGAGTAGCAGCCCTTGATTTAGTAAAAATCTTCAAGTTGACAAAGGAAAGTCACCTTTATTCCAGAATAAGAGCRTTTGCAGAAAGTTACAGCTCTATCTGCTCAAATTCACTGTCTTGTTCCAGCACTATTCCGAATACACAGAACACAAAGGTGTGGGTTTTACCGGTGCAATATTTCCTTCTACAGAACATATAACACCCTAAGACTGTACCCCAATATTTGCCATACAGTCCAGTGTTTTTTACCCATTGATTCATAGCTATAATTTAATAAAAAGAGGTGCTATTGCAAGGTCCCCTGACAACAGCTATCCAAAAAGTTCTYAAGTCTCACTCTCCCTCTGTTTCCACAATAGCAAGATAGAAGGTAGAACTATAAACTCTACTCTCTTTCCGCATAAGTAGAACAGAGAATAGCAGAAGCATTAGATGACAAAATAACTATTCGAGGTAAATCTGAGTATGTTCAGTACTCAGAATGTTAGTTTTTCATTAGTATTTAGAAGTAATGTAATAGCTAGGAGTATTTTTAAATTGAAGTTCTGAAATGGTTTCAAGGAGGGCTGTTATCCATACTTAYTTCACATGAAGAAACAAAACCATCTGAAAACTCAAACACTTTATCTCTCCAATTTCGCAAAGTATGATTGTAAGTGAATATTAACAGAGGCTGAACATCTGTCATTTCTGAGCAAGCATCTAATGTAAGTGTGTGTGGTTAATTACCAAAATAATTCACAGACCACAGCTATAGGGCTTGCAAACTGGGATTAAACTTGGCAAAGCACCCCCCCAAACACACACACAATTTCACACATTGCTGGTTCTATAAATGCAGTCAAGCTGGGCTCTCCTTTGCACACAAGGCCGCAGTCATGCAAAGCTTATTGACTGATACTGCTAAATGAGGTTTCCAACATGCAGAGAAATAAAATTCAATCCAGTCTTTAAGCAACATCAGCACCACAGATCTAATGAGCAATAACCACACGTTCACAGTGTATTCTGCCATAAAATGCATTTTAAGAGTATGCATCTTGGTGATTAAACTCCTGATGTCTATTTCATGAACACTACATTACCCAATACCTGCAAAATTCTAGCAAAATGGGGACATTCTACTAAGCCAAAAACTGGAACCTCCATTTCTTTCGGGTGTGCTGCATGACTTCTGCACAAGCAGGCAGTTCCTTTAGAGGCCAAATACAAACCAGTCTCCAGCCTCCCAAGCCCAACACGTGCTGCCGGGTGGGCGCTTTGCCCGCTCGCTCCGCAGCGGGGGCCGTGGTTGCGGACGCGGGTGCTCGCACTGCTTTCCCGAGCACTACGTGCAACGAGGGAGCCAGCCCTGCAACCGAGCGCATGCCGCAGCTTGCACAGACCAGATGTTCGGCACTGCTCCCTCCCAGCGCAACGCGCAGCCGCCGAGATTTATCTGCGCGAAGGCTCCGCGAAGACCGAGATCACTCCCTGCAAACGATCGGTGCGAAACCACCTGAATAACGCACGTACTCCTCCAAACGAAAACGGCTGAGCCTACGAAGAGAGCCAAGGCGATTCGGAGAGCCCAAGGAGCCCCGGGGCTCCTGCCTCCCCAGCGTGCGGGGGTCGGTCCGGCCGGCAGCACGGGCCGGGCCGGGCGCGGGGCGCGCGGTACCTGCCAGCGGCCGTAGCTGAGCAGCAGCAGCGCCAGCGGGATGGCCGTGCCCGACATGGCGTGCGTGGAGGGCATGCTGTACTCGGAGTTGTAGAAGACCTCCAGCTTGAGGGCGGGCGGCGAGGCGGGCCGCGGCCAGCGGATCACGTCCTTGGTGCACTGGCCCACGTACATCACCCACACCCAGATGTGCACGAGGCGCCGGCCGAGCCACGCGTCCACGTTCCACATGCAGAAGGGGAAGAAGAGCATGTAGAAGAGCTCGTTGCCCAGCTCCGTGCCCAGGCTGAAGAGGTAGTAGAGGGAGCGGCTGCGGATGGAGAACTCCTGGCTGCCGTCCTCCTCCGTGAGCGAGTTGCGGCGCGGCCGGCG